CGCGCGAGGCGCGGGCGCGGGCCTGAGGGGCGACCCCCGCGGCGTCCACAACACAGGACAGCGCGGCAGCGGGGAATGAGTTTTTATTCAGACGAAAATAGTCGTCCCACTAGGAACTGGCTGTTCTCACAATAAATAACAATAACTTACGTTTTGTTCGGCAAAGGCTCACACGCTCTGTCCTCCGTCGACGGATAACTTAAGCATTTTCAAGGTAAGTCCCGTTTCTAGTTTTTCGGCATTCATGCGCTTTGCGGGGTCGAGGCTGCTCCTCTGGGCTGTCGCGTCGTCTCCCCGCGGCGCCCCGGGAGCCGCGGGGGCGCGGACGCAGGCAGAGGAGGGTGCAGAGCTAACGCTAGTAAATCCCGAATTCCCGTTCTGAAAAGTCCAAGTCCTGGGAGCAGCGCCGTCCAGCCTGGGAAAGCGGGTGCGTCCTGGCGCTCGGGGCAGTGCTGACGCCTCTCCGTCCTCTTGAAATAACAGTAATAACAGTTACAAAGGCGGGAGCTTTCGGCGGACGGGGCCTTAGCACGGGCGAGTCTCATGCAGGGAGCATGCGCGGTCCGCGGGCTCGGGGGTCCCCCTCACGTCTCCGCCGGACTCGGCACCATGCTGTTGGGCGTGTCGGGGAGCTGCGAGGACAGGGAGGTCACGTCGCTGCCGGAGGAGTTGCCTAGGGAGCCAGACTCGGAGAAGGAGACCTGGAGGCACAGGTGCGAGCGGTGAGGACGCGCCCGGGCCGGGGCTCCGAGCCGGGGGCCGAGCCCTTCGGGAGGTGGCTTCCTCCCTGGGCCTCTCCCGGGAGCGCTCCGCCCAGCGAGGCCCGGCTTAGGGCGCATCGGGGGCCGAGGTGAGGTTGCGGCCCCCTGCCACCGTCCCAGCCGCCCATCCCACGGGAGCCCCCACTCCCCAGCCGCCACCTGGGCTTCGTCGCGGAACCCCTGCCGCAGGCCTGAGGTCGCGCGGCCAGGGCCGGGCCTCACCAGCTGCTGGAAGGCGGGCTGGTCCAAGTCGCTCTGCAGCGCGAACTCGCTGAGCGCTTTCCACGGAGGCTGGTACGTCTGCACCTCGACCGCGCTGCCCTGCACGGCGCTGTCGTGGCGGATGGGGCTGCCCGCCACCAGGGGCGTCCCGGTCAGGCCCTGGAGGCTCTTCGGGACAAGAACGGGGGTCGTGGGGCGCGCTCGAGTCAGGTCTTGAGTTTCCGCCCACCTTGGTTTGAAACTGGGGGCCGGGCGCTGGCCCGCTCTTTGGGGCCTGAAGCGCTGTCCCGGGAGGCGCGCGCGCGACCGCACCCGAGTGAGCCCTCCGTCCCCAGCGAGGTCACCGTGGGCCCGCAAACCCGCCACCAGGGGCCGGCCCCCGCGCTGGGACCTCAGGGCGAGGGAACGGGAGGCCTGCGTTCCAGTCGCGACAGGCAGGCGGGCACAGCCGGTCCGCCTTGGGCTCCGAGCTGTGCCCCGGACCCCTGCTCCGGCGTGCCGCTGAGACCGAGACCGGACCTCACACAGCCATTGAGCAGCCTTGAGCCCTGCGGCAGGCCTTGCTCTCAAGGCACAGACACGCCGTCTGGAGAATGCCATCCCCTGATCTCCCCAGAACCCGCCCCACCCGACCAGCGCCGGCCTCGGCCTCTCACCGTCTTGTCGCTGTGCTGCTGCTGCTGCAGTTGTTTCATGAGGATGGATTTCTTCTTGTCCTTGCAACGCTTGTTCTGGAACCAGACGCGGATGACCCGCGGGCTCAGGCCGGTCATCTCCACCAGCTGCTCCTTCATGAGCGCGTCGGGCCGCGGGTTGGCGGCGTAGCAGGTCCGCAGCGTGTGCAGCTGCTTCTCGTTGAGCACCGTGCGCACGCGGGTCGTCTTCTCCGCCTGCTTGTGCGCGTGCGGGCGCGGCGCGGGCTGCCGGCCAGCCCCGGGGTCTGCGGAGGGGCGCGGGGTGAGCGACGGGCCGCCGCTCGATCGCGTTTCCCTCACATTCGCTCGTCTCGTTGTGCTCGCCTCCCTTTGCGGGTGTTCGCCCCACCCGGAGGGCTCCGTGCAGTGTCGTCCCTTCCCGACTCCCCGAGCGCGGAGCGGCCGCTTCCGGCCGAACCTCCCGCCCTTACCTCATCCCCGATGCCCGCACACGCCCGCGGGACAAGGGACGCCCTCCAGAAGAAGTGGGAGTCGCGGAGGAAGAGGAGTGGGGCGCGTCCGGGGCGCTGGAGGTGGCCGATTGCGGGCTTGTCCCCCGCTCCCCGGAGCCCACGAGGGGCTTCCCCTGCCCCCGCTTCAGAAGCCACTCGGACAAGGCCGCAGAGGCCGGCCTGGGCGCGGCTCCTCCCTCGAGATTCCAGGGTCCCCGGCCCAGAGGCGCCGGCACTGCCCTCGCTCTGCCTCGCGTTCTCTCCACCCGGGAATCGGCCCGACGCCCGCGCCGAGGCGACAAACAAAAGGGCGCCGGCTCCGTCCCGCTTCACTCCCGGTCCGCACCGGGTCTCCACGCCCCCCGCCAGGCGCTTTTAGGTCTGGATAGCCATCGACAACTAGTCCGCCCTGCTCGATGTCCTGCCGGGGAGTGCACCGAGGGCCAGACACCTGAGGGCCGCTGCCAGGCCGCACAGCAGCAGCGGCGCAGCCTGGGCTGGGGACTGCTGCTTCCGGCCGGTGCTCGCCGCCCTCCGGGCACAAGGGGCTCCCACCACGCACTCGGCCCCCACCTCCGGGCAGCCGCATCAAAACGCAGAGCACTCCTTCCAGAGGCGTTTTCTGGGGCTCCTGAGTTTGCCATGGTCCCCTCCCTCCACACCCATGAGCGCTTGGCTAAGTTGTTCGTGGAACTGGGACTCAACACCGACAGACCCCTCTCGCCGCTGGCTAGCTGGCCTTCAGAGGCCAGGCCTGCACTGGTACAGAGCTGTGTCCCTCACATCCCCAGGCAGGCCCCACTTCAGAGTCCCCATTGTCATTCCCGCTCCCAGTACCGCTTCCCCTGTACTGAACCACGGAGGACACATGCGCCACAACTGACCCCGCACTCACACACGATTCCGGCTCACACGGACCCACAGGCGGCTTCCCCACGCGCACACACACTGGGCTATGTCCCCAGCATGCGGTTCTGCACTCGCAGGACCACACACCAGGAACAATTTTCGTGCCAGCGCCAGCGGCCCACACGCGGGCCTTTGCACGGGTGCGGCTCACCTGGCAGATGCAGGCCCCGCGCGGGGAGCGGGCCAGGGCTGCTCGGGCTTGTGGCCGCGGCACGCTCCAGCAGGAGGCCGTGGTCCGCGCGGCACAGCAGCTCGTGCTCCCGCAGGGAGAACTCGTCGCCGGGCAGCAGCTGGCGGCTGCACACGGAGCAGCGGAAGCACTCGATGTGGTACACGCTGTCCCGCGCCCGCATCACCAGGTCGCTGCTGCTGAAGCCCACCTGGCACTTGGCGCACTTGATGCCGAACAGCCTGTGCGCGCAGGGCAGTTGTCAGCGCGCGGCCGCAGGCTCCAGCCCCCGGCCCCCGGCCCCCGCCCCCCGGGTGGGAGCGGCCATCCCCGAGGGCCGGGCCGCGGTCCCTGCAGCCTCACCTGACGTAGTCCCGTTTGCAGTAGGTCTTCCCGTCTCTCACGAAGCACGTGCACGTCTCATCCAGGTACTGGCTGCACTCGGCGCACTTGAGGCAGGCGGCGTGCCACTCGAGGTCCGGGGACACCCGCAAGATGAACTGGTCGTGGATCTGACTCCCGCAGCCCACGCACGTGGCGGTGCCCGGCTTCTCTGCGGGAAGAGTGCAGCGCGTCAGGCCAGCCAACGCCCGGCCGCGCCAGCGGGAACTGCACCCACAGGGAAGAGAATTCGGACTGTGTAAAGGTCCAGACAATTGGAAACGAAAAAACAAAATCAGAATTAGCGAGAGCTTTTTGTCCCCCCCCCCGCCCCGCCCAGCACCGAAAAATAATTAATAACATTCATTTGGACACAGCCGTTTTATCGATTGGCGTTGTAGCTAAAAAATGGTATCGTAGCTGAGAAGAAACAGTAAGTGGACACTGAAGAACCGCGGACCCGCTGCGTCCGCGCTGAGCGGGGTCGTGCCAGCCTGTCCCTCCCGCAGCGACTCCCTCCAGCCCGGACCGCACGTCGGCTTTCAGCGGCGTCTCTTCGCGTCCTCCCCGACATTTACTGGTTTAAATCTTCCAGAGCAAGCTGGGGGAACCCTTATTTGCAAGACCAAAAGACAAGCGAGCAAACAAAAACCCCGACCCCCTGAATCACCCCTAATTGCCTTAGCGCAGAACAAGCAGATTTCACAGCCTGAGGTCAGCCCCGCAGGCTTGAGAAAGTGTTTAATTATGAATTAAAACAGCAGGATTCCAACGGATGAGGCGTCCTGCAGGCCAAAGGCATTCGTTTGGCGGCTTCTCCGCTAGTGCCCCGTCACAGGGAAGCCACTTGTAGAATCCACTACACGTTCTCCTACAGCAGAAATGCCGCCCGTGAAGCACAAACACCCGCAGCCGCACAGGGAGGAAGACTTACTCTTGGAATGATCCCCCATAGCACCCAGAAAAGGATAGTGAAAAATAACGTCCACCATGCAGAAGGAGGAGTGCGCCAAGGGCAGCTTGGGCACAGTGCGAGGGTCGCGCGCCCCGCCTGCTCTTTGCGAACTAACTCCGGCCCCGTGGACTTGCAGGACCGACCGCACCGGCCCGCACGCAGCATGACGTCAGCACGCAGTCGCCGGGCCGGGCCGGGGGCGGGACCTGCGGCGTCACCAACCTCTCCAGAAGCGGGGTGCGGGGGAGGCCATGGGGACCCGCGGCGGGTGGGCAGGCGTGCTGGGTGGAAGGCGGGTGTGACGCGGGATTGGCTGCAAGGAAAGGGACAAGCCTGATTGGCCGGAGTGAACAATGGAGCGCAACCCCCTCCCCGAAATCTGCGACGAGCCTCCCCGCCCCGGTGTCCGGACTGGACCTCGAGTCACCACGCAGAAGTCCCGCGGGCGCAGCCGCTCCCAGCTACCTGCTGGCCTTGCGGGGCGCGCCTGGCCGCGGAGGTGGATACCTGGGGTGTGGAGGGGGCTCGCCTTCCGAAGCTCCTCTCTATAAGGACAAAATTGACAAACCCAGCCTCTTGGCACGAGAGCGGGGGAAGGAAGACGTGGTTTGCTGGACGCGACCGGCAGCACCCAGCCGGCCACCCTTCTCTCACGCGCCTTTGTTCTCAGGACCCGTGCTAGGGAGAGAGTCCGGGAACAACCCCCGCGGTTCGGATGAACTCAGACTTCCCCACCCGCCGCCTCGGGAAAACTTCTGAGTCGGGACACGGGGCGGGGGGCGCCGGACGCAGACTCCGGAGACGCACCGGTTCCAGCGTCGACTTGCACGTTTGCGGGTGGGGGGTTGACGTCGATTCGCTTCATCCTTTTCTGCATCCGAAGCGCACAGCTCCCTCTAGATTCAGTGCTGGGGTCGAACGCGTGTCCGGCTCCCCGAAGAAACGATGTTTATAAACTCTTCGGTTACATTTCGCTAAGCAGCGGCAAAGCTAATAATCAGAAACAAACGTGGCGGGCGGGGTCGTTTACTATCTGCGGCTGCCGGGCCGTCCTTAGAAAACCCGCGGCTTCTGAGCAGAGTCCTGGCATTTCTTTCAAAGAAATCGCTGTGGGTTTCGTTTGAAAGGGTTCGAAGACCGGCCCATGAATTATAAATAACATGTTTCCGACCTTGCTGGCTGCTGTTTTCCCATTAAAAGGGCCACCGAGGACTTGTGAGCGCCGGATGGGGCACGGCGAGCGAGCGCCTGCGGGGAGAACGCGTCCACGGGTCCCAGACCCAGGCGCAGGTCTCCGCGGGCCCCCGGGCCCCCGGGCCCTTGTCCTAAACACCTAAGGCTGCTTGGCCTCGAGCTCTGGGCGGCGCGGCGCAAACGGGGCAGCGAGGGCCCGGGGAAGGCCGTGGGGACCCAGCGCACAGCGGTGCGCGCGCGCCCAGCCCGCACTGCGCCCCGCGCTTAGCGCCCGCGGTGCCGTCGTCTGTCAAGGCGTCGGAGGCATCACCGCCGCCGCCCTTTCAACGTCCACTCCCGCAGGCCCAGTTCTTCCGCACAGCGTCTCAGAACTCTGCCCACACGCCATTTCTTGTGTTTTGAGCCATTAGTGCTCACTTTAAATGTGTTTGCGGCACGTCAGGGCCCGGGTTGGTGAGAACGCTGCGTTAGAACGAATGTGTCTATGTTAAATAAAAAAAAAAGAAAGAAAGAAAAGAAAAAGAAAAAGGAAAATAAACAGGAGGCGAGGGTCGGGCATCTCCGTGGGTGTCTGCGCTAGGCCACTCTCTCTGCCTTCAGACATCTCATTTTACTTCTCTGCTCCCTCAGTGTTCTCATCTGTAAAATGGAAGCTCAAAATAACAGCTACCTCTACTCTTCTAAGAATTAAACTATTCTTTGGACAAGGCTTAGAACGATACCTGGCACGTAGTAAGTGTGCAATCCAGGTTAACTGTGAGAATTATCATTACGGCTGTATCTTCACTGAGAGCCTCTGTATATGTTTGTGTGCCTGCCCATGCCAGCGCAAGTCCTCTCTTGGGGGCTCAGTCAGCTCCTACAGACCCACAGGTGCTCACACACACGCTGGCCTCCCTTCCCCACAAACTACCTTTCTATTCTTACCCACCGAGAGACCCTCACTGCAAGGAGGTTCTGCGTCTCTGATTTTCATGGAATCACATATGTGGGGAGGGATGCCAGGCCTAACGGAGGTCCTCAGTATCATGATGGCTAACATACTGGACCCTGATCGGGGCCACGTTCACACAAACGCCAGCCCTCCTCCTCACAACAATCCCGGGAAGGGTTGCTGCTGGTAAAATAACCCCAGCTTCACAGATGAGAAACTGAGGCTCAGAGAGGTTAAGCAACATGTCATAGGCTCCACAGGTGTGGAGCCAGGATTCGAACCTGGCTCTCTGCCTCCAGAGCCTGCTTATGGAGCCCTTACACCATCTTGTCTCCCCAGCACTCACGGAGGGGTGCCACAGGCACAGAGCACACCCCACACAAAGGAAGCTGTTGCATACTCACCATGAGTATCAGACAGGAAATGATACTTTTTGGCCTGTTCTCCTGGATGTAAGTGATAGAAATGGAGCTGGAAATACGTCCCCTGACCCAGAGCAGGGCGCTCGCTGCTGGCGTCCCTGGGGATGGGACTCTGCCATTGCCCAGCCGAGTACCAGGCCTCTCTCCTGGCTCCTCCATCCTCCTCCCACCGCGCGCCCACAGGCCTCCACTTTTCTTCTCATGTAAAGTGCAGGTGGCGTGCCCGCAGCACCGGCTCTGCCTCTGAGGCCTTGAGGCCGGTCTTATGTTCATTTTTAGCATCCCAGAAATGAATAAATCCATAACCTTCACAAACTGGTACAACCAGGAAGAGGTGAGACTGAGACCCACACCCACCAGTCGAGGAGACTGGTTAGGAACTTGTGCTACTTGAGTCTGTGCAGTGGGAATGGCCTTGTTCGCTCATTTGGGTGTCGCTTTATTTATAGTGGATGTGTGTCAAAGCCATTCTGTAGTAAGAAACCCAGAGCGTACGGCACTTTCATCCTTAGGGGTTCAATAGGGTCATTATACAAGGATGAGAGAAATGAACCTTTTTTTTTTCTTTTTTGCAAACATGTGGGAGCTTTGGTTTCTTTTCAAATCCCATACTGAACATAGCTGCCAGGACAACCAACCCAGCCTTGATCTTGGGAGGGGAGGGGTGGAAGAAGGAGCTGTGCCTGGTGGCTTCTGGGAAACGTGTATTTTTCCTCTTTCCAGAAGGGGGAACCCCAGCCAGCTGGTGGGGAGTGGTGCTGAGTAGTCTGGTCTGGGGCACCGGCTTTCCCGGCTGGCCTCCGCCAGTCTACAGACTTTGGGGCTTATCTCCTAATGTTCCATTTTCTTCCAGAACTATCCCTCCCCTTGCCGAGGTCTGGGTGATGGCAAAATGAGAAACAAGGGTGGGGAAGGAAAGAGGGAGAGACTGAGCTCCAAAGGGAACAGATTCACTAAAACAGGGTTGGATGGTGGTTTTGCAGAGAAGCCAGCCTCTCGCCAAAGGGGCCGGCTTCAGGCTGGGGCCCTGGATGGACAGGGTGCCATTTACCCAAGCAGGCAGCACAGTAGGGAGGAAAGGAAGAATGTGGCAGGTGACAAAGACCAAACTAGCCAGAGCTCTGCTCTCACCTAGGCCTCAACCTTGGCCTATGAAGACTTGAACAAACACTGACAAAATCCCTAACAGCTTAAAGACACATCCTTGGGACTCCTTACACGGCCCCACA